AACACAAACAAAATATGTAGAAACTTTTATATCTGTTTTAGGAATCAGTGGTAATCTACGGATATTTGTCAAGACATAAATCAAAACATTGTATAATATATGCTTACTTTTTTGCTACCATAAAATTGTATAATGTTTGTCTAGCTGGTTAAAAGTTGTGTCTCCTAAAAAGGGGAGAAAAAAAGAAGAAAGAAATATAAGCAGAATATGGCATTTGAATAGCATGAAAAGAAAAATTCATGATCATGAATTAATTATACTTGGGCTGTTGTAGTGGAGTTTCACCCCTGGAATGTATTTGATTTCCATAATATTTGTGGTTTAATAGTTCAATTAAAATGGTAAAGATCAAAGACCATACCCATCAACCATCATGCATCCCTCAAACTTCTTGAGTTCTTGTTTCTAATCAAAATAACTTGTTGGACTAACAAATAATATATTATGTCTGTATTACTTATATTGGTTACTAAATCCATCTATTGTCAACATAAATGCAAGACTTCTTGTCAAGCTTGTTTCCACGGATAAAGTTGACAACCTCAGGTGAAGCCAGCCTGTCAAAAACAACATCAATGAAGGCAGAGAGGAACGCACCACCTATGACTGCTGCAGCCATGATCTCAAGAACAAGTGATATTAAGAGTTGAATGAGAAAGGTAAGAAATTGGTTGCAATTAATTCGATTGGTTCTTTATAGATGTAATGATAGTTGACTTCACTAAACTCTCATTACTTTTACTCGCTCAGCTTCAAGACAAAGTGTAGTGATGGTTGGTATCACATCACACCCTATGCAGTTGGATTGGATGCTTTTCCAAAGACTCTTTCCTTTTGCACCACACAAGTAAGATGCTTTCTTGATATTCATATGTTTGAATTTATCTACTGTTAATTTAAAGTAGGTTATATTTATCAAATGCTTTAATTAGTGTTAATATTTTGTTTACAAACTGTGCAAGGGGTAAATGGGTTTTGATATTTTCTATTCAGTTATTGCCAAGAAAGTGGAATATTTTTTCCCGTGTGATATGTGTATCATGCTGTATAGTGAGGGGACATAATTGACTTCTGGTGCTAACACGGTTTGTGGGACAAGTTATAGTGACTGCTGATACTAACAATTATTTTCTTCAACTCAAATTATTTTCTTATCACCAATTATATTCTTCAACCCAGCCAGAAACCTGTCAGAACAATATATATTTCCTCAGTTTACTAACAACCTTCTATCAACTTAAGGCATATCTAGAATTTCAACTATCGCTTAGAACTAATAAATCTTGAATAGTTCGATTTAAAACTTCATCTCTTCTTTGTTTTGTTCATACTGACCAAAGGTTTTTACATTTCATGTTACATTCACAAAACCACAAAAGAAAGGCCATATGTGTATGGAACGTTTGTCCTGGCATGACTATAAGTTTAAAACACTACTATCATATATATATAAAATAAAAAATAATATAATAAAATAAAATAAGAACTATCATAATATTTATATTTGTTATCTATCGATGTTTGTGAATAATAATAGTGTCTTCTCATCTCATCCTTGGTGTACCTCTTCTCATAAGCGATTCAATTTAACTAGTAATGTCTCAAAAACGAATTGATATTTATACCAATATTTTTTTTCCTTCTGATCATTATAAATTAGGAGAAAAATCAATATATTATTTTGGCATATAGGAATTACATGCGGCATTCCAAATCATACAGCATCTACTGTGTGTTTTCGTTCTGTTAGTGTTGACAATCTTTAAATTGTACGTATAAAAAGAACCTTCACAATTGAAGGTTATAACCAATTGGGAGCTAACGAATCACAACACTACTCCCACTAATGTAATGTGTAAAACATTTTCAATTGAGTACTGTATTAATAAGCTTTTCAATTTAGGGTTTATGAAAATAAAAATATTTAATGAAACACCTGTATTTTAAAGCATTAAAAATATGATTGGATAAAAATGTTTAGCTGAAACTAAATTCAAATTTAAAAATTAAAAACAACATTTATTTTAAAAAATTAATAAAAACATATATTATTTTTTAAAAGAGAATATTATTTGTTTTACAGGTAAAAGAGTAATTTATTCCCAAATAATTACATTATATTCAAATACATTCATAGCGTGAATTAATAGATTTTATTTTAATTTTGATTTTAAAAATTTTAATTAATATTTGTGATGATAATTGTTAATTATTGACTTTTCTTGTTAATGATCCTCATAGTTTGAAAAAAAGTAAACTTCCACGTTCCAATCCCTATAAAGGTAAAGAAACTAAAGCAAAGGCAAAGTCACCACACATCATAATTCTTGTCCTTATTCTTTGTTATTGTTTACAATGAGGAGACTACTCAATGCCAGAAAGTTCGAGTCTTTAAAGGAAGTTTTTAAGGTTCAATCTATTAAGGAAACATTTAAACACACAACTTAATTGTTGAACATCATAAATGATATAGAGTAAATGTTAGTCTATGGGACAATATGTTTCATCTGGTTGAACAACATCTTATTATGACTAGCGCCTACACTTCCTCTAATAAAAAAAAATACATTTTCTTTTAAAAAACTTTCTATTTGTTATTAAAATATTAAAGCTTGAACGATTCAAAATTGTCTTTTAATTTAACAAAAGTTATAGATATTAAAAGATATAAGGAAAGAAAATTAGAGAAGATAAAAGAAATTCCTTTTCTGAATTCATTCATTATTTGAGAAATATTACTAAATATACCTATAGTAATTGTGATTACCAAAATTAGTTTATATTGAACATTTAGAGCTTTATAATCAATGCAGCAACACCAACTGTCATCCTTTTTCTTCACAAGGAGGACAGGAGAAGAAAATAGACTCTAGCTTAGTTGAATCATGTCAAATTCAAGCATGGTGGTGACCTATTTCTCTAATTCAATTATTTTTTTAAAGACACACATTAACAGGGGTCCTGTTTGGAAGGAGGTGTATATGGTGGGCAATGTTACGGTGGGGTGGAAGTTGGGAAAGTTCATGGAAGAGGGTGTCGAATTGGGTACGCAGGGATTCAAGGGTTGGGTGTGGTAGAGTCGTGGTAGAAATGGAAGGGTTGGGGAGATGAGGTTTTGGGTCAGGTAAAATGGCTAAGTGAAATAGGGTTGAGGCAACATGTGTCTAGAAAAGTCATTTGGTTTGTTGGGTTGAGGCGAGTTCCGATTGGAGAGGTACATCAGCATGCAACACCAAAGGGTGGGCATGCGCTTAAACTGTATGGTAAAAGAAGTGTAATCTATAGTAACTAGTCCATGATCCTTAAGCCATTGGACGACATCCTCAAGACGATCGATTGTGATTTTTCTGGTATTGTGTCTAGTCATGGTGAAAGGGCAGGTTGCACCGGTTGGTAGGATACTAATAGCTAGTCTAATGCTAAAGAAGGAATAGTTTTTTTTTGGTAGTAAAAAAAGGAATAGTTTGCTAATTCTCTACCATTTTCATTCATTTCTGCATTATTTATACAAAATGTTGTTGGCAATCCTTGGCTCAACGCAATTTAGGGAAAAGGAATCTAGTATAATGAAAATAATGCATGTGACAATTACAACCAAATAATATCGTAATAGTATCTTATCCTCCTGAGGGACTATAACCAATTACACAAATTGAGGAAGGTATGTGGGCCTCTTGATTCTCCTCTTGGACCTAGTAACTTGGTATGGATTGTTATCAGAATCCTACATCTGTTATGTTAGATTTAACTTCTTTCCACAATTCTAGCTTCTTGCAAGTCGATCTTATCACCATGTCCCTATCATTCTAGGAATTAAGTTTTGTCCCTTTTTTCACTTCTTAAAGTGCTTTGAGATTTGTTGTCTGTCATAGACCTTTGATTGCATGGAGCTTTTAAAATTAGTTATCTAAAGTCATTTTCTTTATATGATGTTTCTTCATTATCCTCATAATCACCATCTTCTTGTTTCCTAATTGTTTCATTCTAGTCCTTTTCTTGGTCTCGCATTTCTTTTTCAAGTCTTATTGGATCCAACTGTCTAGTTTCCCAAATCTAAGGAGCTTGTACAATAATTGTTGTTCTCCGATAAAATTTAGAACTATTAATGGCAATAAAAACATATGTGATCTGTATAGAGGATAAATAGTTTGTTGTCCCCATCAAAGGATAAAGGATAATGATACAACATTATCACAATGTATTTGGAAAGGGAGACATATCTCTAGAAAATTAGAGATAGGTGGAAAAAGATATTTTAATTCAGAAAGAGATTAAAAAAAAAAAAAGTTGTGCAGAGAAAAACATATTCTAGAAGGAGGGTGAATAGTGTCTATAAAAAATTTACACTTTTTTGTAATAGTGACGTAATAAAACAAACCACAAATAGTGCTTTACGAGGAGTCAAAAGGTTGAACTCATAAAAATTATATACTAGTTCATAGAAGTAGCAAGTTTATGAGCTTTTAAGGTTTGATCTACAAGGGAAACATTTAAACACGCAACTTCATTGTTAAAAATCATAAATGAAGTTGAACGACATCTTATCACAGCTAATGCCTTGGATGGAGAATTTAAATTAGTGTGTTTGGATAGAGAATTTAAATAGAGTAATTCATTTGTTTGAAAAATTTTAAATTCTTTGAGGCGAAATACCTTGTTTGGATGAAGAATTTATAAAGAATTTGAAATTCAAGCATTTGTGAAATTTCTTGAAATAGTAGAATTTCAAATTCTCCCAAAAAAAATAAGAATTTAAAATTTCTCATATTTCTTTTTCTTATTTCACTTATATATTTTATCTTATCTCTTATCTCTTGATGTTTTTAACTATTGAATATTCAAAAATAATTTTAAAATTATTAAACATTATCTAATATTATTTTTTTAAATATTAAATTTTTAAAAATTAGCTAATATTTATTTTTATAAAATTTAATTTAAAAATTTCAACATATAAATATATTTTGAAAATCAATTTTATCAAGGTAGAATCAAATTACATTTTCTCTTAAAAAAATTTCTGTTATCATTAAAATATGAAAGTTTAAGGGATTGGCGATTGTCTTTTAAATTTAACAAAAGTTATAGAAATTGAAAGATAAAAGGGAAGAAAACTAGAGAAGATAAGAGAATAAATGAATTTAGTTGATCCGGGAAGAGAAGAAAAAAGAAGGTATAGAAAAAAGGAAGATCAATTCACTTGCCATTAAAAAGTTTTCTTTGGAAAATAAAAAAGAAAGTTAATAGAGTGATTTTTCAAGTCTTTGAACAACTAGAAAATCATTCATCACAGTTTTATAATTAAGTTAATTTAAAATTTTAACCTTAATCGATAACATTTATTTTTCTGAATTCATTCATTATTTGAAGAATATTATTGACTATACTTATAATAATTGTGATTGTCAAAATTAGTTTATGAAAATAAAAATATTTAATTAAACAAGTATAACTGGATAATAGAACATATATTATCTCTTAAAAAATATTATCTTTTACAGGTAAAAGAGTAATCTATCCCAAATAAATACACTACATTCAAATACATTCACAGGGTGAATTATTAGATTTTATTTTAATTTTGATTTTGAAAATTTTAATTAATATTTGTGGCGGTAATTTTAAATTATTGACTTATCTTGTTAATGATGTTGAAAGTTTAGAAAAGAAATAAACTCCCGCCTTTGGATCCCTATAAAAGTAAGAAGGTGAAGGCAAGGCAAAGTCACCATACATCATAATTCTTGTCCTTATTCTTTCTTACTCTTCACAATGAAGTCATTGCAAAAAAGAAAGATCAGCCTCAATCTACTCTCTATCATCGTTGATCGTTTTCTCTTCGATAACAACTTTTCTCTCACATGCTCCACTTTTCGTAACGAGGCTTCCTCTCTTATTGCCAACCAAGAGGTATGCTCCAATGATTTTGTCATTCTAATTCTTATCAATCAATAAAAAAGAGCTATCAGCAATGTTCAAATTTCAATTTCAATTTTATTATTTTTTTAGGTGTCAAAGAGTTTGCTGAGTTTGGAAAATATGCTGGATGAGTATATATGCTTGAAGGAAGAGAAGGCGTCGCTGCATCAAGAAAGGGTTACGCTGATGCAAGAGAAAATCAGGATTCAGATGCTGTTGCGAGACATGCAAAATGCTGTCAACACATTCAATACTTTTTAGGGGCTACCCCCACCCAATGTTGCAAAGATGAACGCAAATCCTGTGATGGTTCCTCAATCCAGAGTTCTCCTTCAGGTACATGTTTTTCCTCTTATGCTTGAAAAATTGGTCGTTGCTGGCTTTTTTATTTTAAATTTTAGATGTGGGATGGGATTCGTTTCAATGTGGTAGGCAGCCTTATTTGCTGATTTTGATTATTAAAACTGCAACAGCTATTTAAAACTTTTCAAGTTGTGGTACGATTAATTCAAATTGAGTTGTGGTATTAGTTTGTGGATGCATTGTCATCATTTAAGTCGGTGATAATTGCATGAAAGGGTTCCTGCCATGTAGTTGTAGTTTCAAACCGGAATTTAAAACATTTACAAGTTTGATGAAAAAATAAATGTCTTGCATATTTTAAGAACAAAGATTAGGTGCGATATGGGGTTTTTGTTATGTGTTATTCGTAAATGATAAGTCAAAACTCATACTAGGATGAGGAGGTTGAGGTTTATTTGGGTATCACTTACAAATTTTTTATCCCTAATGCAACCATTGACTGTATATGTTATTTTTGTCATATATTCATGTGATATTCGTTTAAAATTTCTGTATTGCAATGGAGTAATGTTAAGCTTCTTTATCATGAGTAAGTGATCAAATAAATTATCACATAGACTTTGTTAATCACTCATCAGCTCTTGAAAGCCAAAAGAGTTAAAAGGATGACTTAAAAATTGGGCAATTGCATAATATGATATCAGAGTTGTTGCAAGAATTTAGTCTCTCTTAGTTGAAAGCTCTGCGAGATCATGAACAACGTCTAAAATGGAAATCAAGGAATAACTATTACCAATAATCTCCACTAAAACATGATTCACTTTTGAAACGGTGAAACCTGCAAGAACCTCCAACTATATATTTTAAATTTTTTACCTCTGATATGTACTTGATAGCAAGATGACACTCATGGCAAACCTGCAATTTTTCCATCACCCTTATTGGCACTCTCTCTGGGGTGCTCTTTAAAGTGAAAGCAATTGCCCATTTCTCAATATGGTGCCTCACTCTGTTCTTTTTCCTCATTGTGTCTGTCATGCAAAATAAAGCTAGTATCACGTATATATAGCCTCTCTGCATTTATACCCAACTTACAACTAATCTGAGACCTGCCATTTTTATCATATAGTATTAATCCACAACTCCCTCAATGTACCCTTTTTGAGCTTTTCCTACCATAATTGATTGTATTCAAAGCAATGACATTAAAATTTGGCATCCAATTGATAATTTTTTTCCATATACATAACCCTGCTTCCCATATTGATTAGTGGTGAGGTGAACAATCCTCACCTTACAAGTATTGCTAATGTAAAAAAGTAGAGAGCAATCTCCCCTTCAAGTTTTGTAAGGTGACGATTGTTCACCTTACATTATTTTGATTAGTTGATTTGGAATTTTCAATACTAAGTGAAAAGAGTTGGATGCTTCATGTTTGAAATCTGTATTAGTTAGATATAATCTATGTTTCTAGTGTTGATTTTTGGGTAGTTTCAATAAATCAGTCTTTGCCTAATATTCTGTTTTGCTAATAGAATTGAATGACTCACTTGAATGTTTGAATTTTCCCAAGAGAAGTCCTATATTTGGGAATTCTGATTGATAAAGTTAGGAGTGTAATCGTTAAATTGTGTTTCCTTAGTCACTGTTTACTTTTGTATTTTTTGGATGTGTTAGCTAAGTTTATCAATTAACGGTGGAGTTAATCCTAATGTATTTAAGTCACAATTTGGAATTAAGTTTTTCAGTTAAATTGAATGGTGTACAACTTTTTAGGTTGTCTTAATGATGTGTTGAGATTGCTTTGCTTTCTTAGGTGTTGCTCCTGTTATTACTACTCCTCTACCTCCGCAAAACATGTCTCATATACAGTCACTGCCTATGCGTATGAATACCAATGTGGAAGCAGGAAAGTTCTCTGCACCCATGATTAGTGCATCTGACAGAAAGAGAAGAGATAGTCAAGCAATGGATGTTCCTACAATTTCAAAGAAGCATCGTGGTAGACCACCTGGTAGAAAAAATAATGTTCAAGGTATTTTTGTCCCCTAGCCGATAAATCTATCAAGTATATGCTAAGCTTTCATAATGCCATTAATTACATTTTTACTCTATCTATTCTCAGGTCAAAACATACTGCCATCATCATATAATACAGTCAATAACCAAGTAATTTCTACACCTTGTTCTGCAACTCAATCATCGGCTTGGAACTGTGCACTTGGTGGATCACAGGTTCAAGGATCTAATGCAGTCAATAACCAAGTAGTTTTTACGCCTTGTTCTGCAACTCAATCATCGGCTGAGAACTGTGCACTTGGTGGATCACAAGTTCAAAGATCTAGAGTTGTTAAAAGCTTATTCAGTCCTCCTTCATTTCCTATTCCAACCAATTCTCCAGTTTGAAATACACCTTGCAAAACAAATCCCTCTCACAATGATACATGTGTATCCCCTCTCGAGATTTCTCCGATTACGACATGCAATGGGAAGACTGCAGAACAATTGTCTTGTTTAGGGAGAAGTCAATGCATTTCTCCAATCAATGTTGATTTGGACAAGACAAGTGAGAAGGATCTCGTAAGTAGCAGGTTGGATGCTTCTGATATGCATGAGAGCTTAGACAAATCATTGCCTAATGATGATGATGATGCTGCATACAACTTTGACATGGAAGACATATCATCACACAATTCTTCGGATTCGGATATGGAAAAGTTTGACAAGGAAGACTTATCTGAATTCTGCGAATTCGAATGTGGAGCCTTCATTTCATGATGACAGTGTCTGAACTCTGAAATGGAAACATGGATTCTTCTATATTTTTTTTTTTAATATTTTTTTAGCTTTGTATTCATTATTCAGTGATAAAAATAAAACCCACAAAGGAATTTGGAAATGATGCTGCGAGTGCAACGTTGGCTATATCTTATTTGATCTTATATCACCTTATTGTTTAGTTTGGTCTAGTGAAAAACTTGGGCCGTAGTGTATGGGATGGCAAGTTGAGGTTGATTTTATATCGATATAATAAACAATATATATATATATATATA